TGCAACGTATCGAGATAACGGGTGGGATGACGCGGACGCTTAATCGTATGCCTTCGGCCTAACTGGTTCGTAAGAACTGTGAAGGTCAGCATCAACGGTAACCGTAGTCAAACCTTAAGTTTCTGACTCAGGCGATGTTTTGTTACTGCAGTTCACTCCCCGTCTTTAAGTGAATTCTTAGGAACTGTGATACGATATCAGCTGGACATAACACCTCTACGGTTTTAATCAAGATAATACTGTCCTGACCACTAAACGATATGGCTTCTGGTTCTCTGTACAAATTCCGGGGTGTCTTTTGCAATCAATAATGCTGCAACTACGAGGGGAAATTCGAACATTATCAGTTTTTGTCTTTTACGCTTCTATACCTTCAGACAGTGGGTTGAACAACCACCTAACAGATTTTTCTGGTTACTGAATAAAACAGTGGTCTGGTGTAAGTGCTGCTGACCATGAAAAAGTGAACATTGATTGCTTGTCTGGAAACCGAGGTTTACAGATAACCAACTTATTTGGACCAAGTCCTTACTTATAATAGCAGCCACCCAACGGCAAACAAAATCAACTGCTTGAGGGCATCGTTCAAAAGAGCGACGACACACCATAGCACACTGGCCCTGTTGAGGAAAAAAGAAAATTGTCGGATGACGCACTTCCAAAAGAGCTGCTAACCACGCAACTTCATCAAAAGATGTTTACATAACTCGTCGTCAGCCAAGACGTCAACCTGGAAAATAAACCGGTTGTGCTACACTACATGGAGGACGTCTCCAAGATCACAACTAGATTACTGCAGCCTTTTGATATCGCTGTATCTCAAAGCCGACAGAATCTCTTCACCCTCTGTTATGCAGGCCAAAATCAATAGCCTAGGGTTTGACGAGATTCAACATTGATGCTGACCCCGATAGTTTAACTGGACCCGCTAAGCTTAAGGCATCCGATCAAGCATCCTCACCATTTGGCACGCCGTCGTGTTACGTTGCACTGCTCGTGGTCGACTCCCCAGCCAGTTAGCTGGAACGCATCGGTACCTTGGCACAACCACCAAAATATACTATTCCATCTGACTAAGCTATTGTGTTCTTCCTTGGTCTCGTACTCGTGGATATATAACAAGTTGGAATGATTAGTGATTGGTCTTTGCATCCGTCAAGTTTGTGCCATGACAATTCCTAAATTGGTGAGCCTGACGTGATCACATAACCCGACCGATAACAAGTATTAAGTTGGTGAGCCTGTCTCATTTTATGCCTGTTTATTGTTTTCATTTCGATAACATCTATATATCCATATACAACTCTTTCTCATGTGCGACCACACTCCCAAGCTTATTCGTATTAAGTCGACTACGAACACGATCCAACTCGTGCCATATTGGCCAGACAATGCAGAAACATGGTTTCTGTATGCCGAGGCAGATTTTCGAGGACAGGGTGTCTCAGATCCTCATTCTCGATTTCTTGCTGTCATCCGGTCATTACCGCGAGAATTAAACAGGTGTGTTACGGCATACATGTAAAATCCTGAAGTAAGTGATCCCTATGCACTTTTCATGGCCGCACTCCTGAAGAAAAGGGATCTCACAGATTGCCAGCGCCTAGACGAATTGCTTCGGAACATCGAGCTAGGCAGCCACTCGGCTACTGAAGTCCTCGCACGCATGCGAGAAGTCATCGGTGCACGAACATTCGACAATGGCCTCTTTCGAGAACTATTTCTCTCGAAACTACCACAAACGGCGCAAAACGTGTTAGTGACACTTCAGTCAGTCCCACTCGATGACCTGGCAGCCTAAGCAGATAAAATGCTGGAGATCTCTAGCGGACCCATCTCCAACGTATATTCTGTCCGCGACAAACCAGAGAGCCAGGATTCAGAGGTGACCAAGTTGTGCAACTCTGTTAAACAGTTGCTGCTATCTCGAGGTTCTAGTTTACGTAGCACTTCACATAAACGCATCTTGGCGCATCGCAGCAACACGCGCGGTTGTCCGAAAACCAAGCCTAACAGTGTAGAAAACCCTAAATGGTGCTGGTTTCATAATACTTACGGAGAAGAGGCCAGAAAATGTTGAAAACCATGCAGTTTTAATAAGAACACCAACTCAGGAAACGGTCACGCCGGCACGTGTTCACGGCAACCATAGCCGACGGAAACAGCCGTTTGATCTACGTCACGGATATCAAAATGAAAGTTCGCTACCTCGTCGATATCGGCGCAGAAGTTGGCGTTCTTCCCGCACCTACAAAGAAGCGTCACCACTACCCATCCTTCAATCTCCAAGTAGCCAACGGCAAGGCAATCGCGACATTCGGGAGATGGTATGCCCACCTCAACTTAGGTTTACGTAAACCTATCCAATGGACTTTCCTCCTAACTGACGTCTCTATGCCCATAGATTCGCTAAGACATTACGATTTACCCATAGATGCTCACAGTCGATGTCTGACAGATAACAGCTTAAAGTTATCTATTGGCGGCGCCACCTACGTAGGTCTGAGTTTAGCCATCGTTAGAACCAAACAATCAGGCGACGCGTTCTACCAGGCAGTTTTGAGAAATATCCAGGGTCGCAACGACCGAAGCATACTCTTTCGTGCATAACCAGCAATGTTATGCATCACGTCACAACCACAGGTCCACCTGTGGCATCCAAAGCATGGCGTCTAGCCCCTGGTAAGCTCAAAACTGCGAAAGGTGAATTCGACCACATGCTCGAACTGGGCACCATCAAACCTTCAAGTAGTCCTTAGGCATTACTACTGTATATGGTTTCCAAAAAGGATAGCAACGACTGGCGCCCGATCGGTGACTACCAGAGGCTTAACGCCAAAACAACATCGGAGGCTAGCCCAATTATCGAAATTCTTGACGATGTGCGTGGTAATGTACAGTTACAACAGCCATCGGCGCAATAGAAAACACGATCAGGTCGAACCGTCAGGTTTCCGGAGTATTCGAAGTCATATTCGGCTTAGTGGTGTGAAACGGGGTGTGCCAACCATATATTTTTTTAATTCACCATTTTTTCCTAAGCACCATTGTTCTTATTTACCGGCGACGCGAAAATCCACGTACATTTTACCTTTTTGTGTCAACTTTTTACTACTACCACGTAATGAAACATCATTTAAAAAATGGAAATCAGCGTAAACCTTATTTCGATATGCTTACATACGAGTAATTTCCATTTTACCGAAGCATTTTCGTGGTATTAAAGACTTTAATTTATATTCCAGGTACAATGAGCAGTGGACGGAACGTCTAAGGAAACTGGGGACAGCGATCGACGTACAACTTGATTTATTCTATTTTATTTTTCAATTGCCACGAAATCCTAGAATAATTTCAGACAACCAGGAGCCACTTCACGCAGTGAGCCCATCGAAAGGGTTTTATCAATGGAGAAACCGCTGGGTTTTTACTTCCAGCTGGTATCGTCTTAGGGTCCTCACCACCCACCAGGGGGGGAGTGATCTGTAGCGTCACACACTTCTCCAAAATCAATAGCCTAGGGTTTGACGAGATTCAACATTGATGCTGACCCCGATAGTTTAACTGGACCCGCTAAGCTTAAGGCATCCGATCAAGCATCCTCACCATTTGGCACGCCGTCGTGTTACGTTGCACTGCTCGTGGTCGACTCCCCAGCCAGTTAGCTGGAACGCATCGGTACCTTGGCACAACCACCAAAATATACTATTCCATCTGACTAAGCTATTGTGTTCTTCCTTGGTCTCGTACTCGTGGATATATAACAAGTTGGAATGATTAGTGATTGGTCTTTGCATCCGTCAAGTTCGCACCATGACTTTCCCCAAACCTGAAAATTCCATCCCCCTCGTTTAGAAAGTTACGCACGTCAGTGGAGTACCGAGGAATATCAAAAGATAGGCGAAACTAAGAAATACAACCCGTTACACTACCCAATAATAGCACTAATATTGCATTTCATGTAGTATAGGTGAGATGGAAACAACCCATTCTACAGGCATGATCGGTTCGGTAATATGAATTCGGTGTTTTGACCAATAACACGCAACAAGTTGAAAATCTTTTTTCTCCCGTAGATGAAAGGAAGTTCAATTCAATACAAGTAATTATTCAGCCGTTGTCTGAACAGTCAAATATGTTCGAAGATATTGCGGGTGCTACAGTCGTGACCTTGAATCTTATTCATTCTTTGTGGTCTCATGTTATAAAAGGCACTAATAATTATGGTTACTGAGGTCCCAACCGAATGAGGAACTGGTCTGTCTGACCCAAAAACGAATGATAAAAGCAAGTGGCTACCCAAACTCAAGATCTAAGCTCAGATTGCTGTATGGCAGTGCATCAATCACGATGTATATATAGGTCTGTTAAGCGTTGTGGTTACAAAAACACTTGATACAGTATTTCAAACCAAGTGTTTCGACATCAGCCTATAAAAAAGAAGACGAAGTTACATAAGGAAGTGATGAAAAGAAACTGAAGACGAAGATACCCAGCCGAACACGAATGCTGAAATAATGCGTGCCAATGCATTGCATGAATGCGAAAATTATGCTAAGATGCGACAATTAAGCGGATTTTTACGGAATACCCGCATAATTTACGCACTTGCGGAATAATTTCAGCGTGCATGCGTAAATCCCGCCTCATTTCCGCACAATTCCAGCATTTTTTCAGCACCCACCGCTGCATTTAGGCATTATTTCCGCGGTGCAGGGAAATAATTTGTAAAAGTTTCCTACCCCTCACCTATCGATATAAGTATTCTGTCTATTCACCCAATTACTTAGGCAATGACCACTCTATTTACGATAAATACCAGCCTTATTTCCGCACTATTTCGGCGTTGACCGCTTTATAACGCCTAATTATGGCCTAGATTAAGCACTACTTCGACACTTAGCGCTTTCTGGATGCAAAATTTAAGCATTCCTTGATTTATTTACGCAATATATCGCGTTGCCTTCAAATATTTTTTAGAGAAAGAAAAAAGTGCACGTAATACTAGGAAATTTATATCTTTGAAACTGATTACAAACAGTTGATTTCAGTTTTCACGTCTCACACGTTTTCTGTTTCGCTGTCATCTGCTTTCTAAAAGAAGTGTAAATTATTACCAAGCGATTTTGATAACGTTTTCAAACATGATTGCAGAATAAACCGTAAACCTACCGGCTCCGTGTGCTCTTCAGTATTGATGACAGTTGTAGGCTGTAAACATGGAAAAGTACAATTAATTCTTTCGGTTGGGATGAGATGATTAAAGGCTAACGGGATGTACAATACAACTTACTAATGCTTTCGGCTTAACATGCCTGACCATCTTGTCCCGTATATTGCGGAAGCAAGACTTGGCAGTTGCATTCATGATGCCTTCAATTTCCCATTGAGACATGAGTGGCCCAGAGAACTTGGATGTGATAACAGCTAATTATAGGATAGTGATTAACGTAAATCTTACATCTCATGACTTTATGAAAATTTAAGTTGATGATCCCAGTCTTTCTTGAAGTCCCAAGCATGGCCCAGATAAGCTTTCGAGATACTGTTCATCATTGCTTTCAAAGATGGCTTCTGCTCATCTTGCAATTTCGCAACCATCTTTGCGGTCTGCAAATTTAGACTTCGTTGATTTTAGCTCACAAGTATCCCTGTGAAGTTGTTATCCTTCAAGGACGTTTCCAATAAATCTAGCTGACCCTCGGGAACCAGCGGAAAGTGAAGATGGAAGTCGTCTATTGAAATGGCGCTGGTGGATGCCGTTCTGTTGAGCGTCTCCGCCGAGGAAAGTGAAAGAAGCTTCGTTGCAACCTTCAAAGTTTCCGCTATTCCCTTTGAGTACTGTAATGCGTTTGTTATATGAAACTTACGCAGAATTTTTTTGCAATGTGATCATTTCCTTGTTGGACGATTCCACCCTCGGAGACCCGGGAGTGTTTAACGAAAACTGCTAGGTTAACTCATAGGCTGCATAACTGGTCGTCATTTCCTGTTTGTGGTGGTACAGGGGAAGAAGCAGCAAACTTCCCTCCACTCGACGTACCGTAGAAACTTAGGCGACATTACAACATTGGCCACTAAATCCTGAGCCATTTCGTTAAAATCAGTGGGTTTCTTGAAAACTCCACAAACACCTGCTAAGAAAACTTCACTTAAAAGAGGTTTACGGATTCTACCAAGGAATGGCCGCAGATGCTGACTTAAACTCATGGCTATGGACAACCCATAGTAATTCAGTTGTATTTCAACCTGAGTGGTGGACTGATATTCATTCCATCTGACTAGGGGACGCTTCAAATTGTATTTTAAACCGATGTGGTAATAAACACCGTTTACTAGAAATCGCGGTTCACAATTACTACACCCTCGCATCAACCCGCGGATACTAGTTGGCACGTTAAGACAATTCTGACTTATGTAGACCAGCATTCTGTCTGCAGCAGAAGCATTCAGGTTGAGATTGAACAACATCTCTATGACCATTTGCCGGACACGTCCAAGCTCTGCCGTAGACATGGTTGAGGTGTCCTTGGGGACTTCATTTGAGAACATTGCAGGTTCGACAACAGAACAGGACACGGCCACACGGTCAGGTGTATACTCCACCGCACTTTGCACATATATCAGTGTACGAATACAAGATTTACCAACTGCTGCTGCTTCGGGCTTCAAAGGGCTCAAGTCAGCTACACCAAGGTTCGCAAAAATGGAATCAATCCACTTTTTGCGACGTCGATTAAAAGTAGAACGGTAACAGTTTACTGGTAAAGGCATTCTACCAGAGGACATCCTTCTTCTTTTATTAACCGTTGTCGATATATTACACGAAACATCGTTATTGGTAGCATTATGTTGCTTAAGGATGCACAATTGTCACAGAGGAACAAAACAGGAACTCACCTTCGTGGTGTACGCGCTAGAGTGATGACCACCATTTATCTCATAACAGTTAAACAATGGAGTTGTTTCGGTATGTCCACAAATATTTATTTTTAGTTATTTTTGTTCTGAACGAATACACTGGAAGAAATTTAACAGATGAAGTATTGAGCATGACTTACGTTATCATATGGGCTGCGCTACACATATCAAATGATTTATCCGCACTAGTTCAGCACAGCCCGCCTTATTTCAGAACTAACACCATTATTTCGACCCCAACCGCCTTATTTCAGCACTACCTGCACCATTTACCCACTCTCCACCTTACTTCCACGGGGCAGGGAAATATCAAGAAAAAATTTCCTATCCCTTACCTATCGATAGGTATATTATGGCTAGCGACCCCATTATTTAGGCATTCGCCCGCATTGCTCACGCATTATGCCATCGAGACATATCTCGATGTCATAAGGAGTAGGGAGAATACAGAACTAGGCACACATTTGTGTTCAGAAAACTGGGGTAAAGAAGCAAAATGGAGTTATAAACACTGAGATAAAACTCTTACATTTTGCCATAGTTGTAAATCTACTTTATGTAGTCATGGGGAATGGGGGGACCATAATGTTGTTTGTTGAGTGTTATCATATTACGGCTATAGAGAAAACATGGACTGAAGCAGTATACATGGCGAATTTATATTCTCAGTGCACCCCATAAAAGCAGATACGATAACGCCATCAGAAGACAAAGATCATCCGGAAAATATAATGTATTCGTGCGATACATTTCGAACAATCTGATCACACATTTACTTGTCAAGTCAATTCATATATGAGAATTAAAGGGAAATTAAAGGTCAAATATAATGAATATGAAAAGATTGTGACGCTAGTCTTAGTAATTTAATCAGATGAGGATCACCAAAGTAAATCAGGTGAAACAACAAATTGTTTTTATACACGCAAGGGAGCCTTAAGTTTACGAATGGCCAACGCTTCAGCAAACTTCAGTGTGTGCCCCTGATTATTCCCGTCCAATATCCTGAAGGCTGTTTTCGTATTCAAAAGAACCGCTCTGTTTGAATACTGACCTGTTTTGTCTCATTTGTACTCTACTCAGCAATAACCATATCTAAGCCTTCCCAATTGGATATTTCCTCTACGAAAGTTACAATTTCACCGGAAAAACGTTTTGCTACAGAGCGTACAGCTCTCAGTCGGTAACTACTATCACTCTCCAAACAGACAACTGCGTGGCAGGTCTAACTGCATCGATTAACTGCTATAGCTCAGGTTGCTGCAACTGCAACACCACTTTTCTCATTCGATCATATACCTCGGACCTGTGAGAAGCTTTGGGCATTCTTCCATGTCGCACAACTGTGCAATCCTAGGTAAAGTTAACAACTTACTTTATCTATCATTGTTTTTCTACGTTTCACTTGATACAACCATTTGCGTGTATCCCTTTTGTACCCCCTCCTAATCAGTAGTAGAAATGAGTATTAATCGAGTCCTAACCAAATCTGGTATCAGGAACATCTCAGGCAAAGCCTCACTCCAGCCACAAACCCTCCCATCAGTGGTAGTAACGGGGGCCGGAGGCAAGAGACTTAGTGCCGCCGCAGAAGATCACGGGTCGACCCTGAGAGGATAGTCGCAACAAACACTTCCTGCGAAAAGTCGAATTCCTGTCCCTGTGAACTCCTGTGCTGTGGTTCACCAACGAGCATATCTTTCTGGTACCACCAGCCCAAACCCTAGTCTACTTGTGAAGGCTACCACTGAGAGACGGAAGAGAAGGAAAAGAAAGTCGTTAACTAAACCTTCTAGTCAGGCTGACGACTGTCATACATGTGGTCTCACCGTGGCCAAGAGGGATGCTACCTTTGAGTGTAACATCTGCAATAAGTGGGTGTACAGTCAATGTGATGAGGGCATACCAGACCACTACTACACCTTCATGGCGCGCTACCCATGCACGTGGTTCTGGTACATCTGCCCACAGTGCCGTATAAGGCCACTCTCTTCTACAGGCTAGCTGATGGGGGTCGTAAAAGACATCTCAGTGACTACTGTGATGCCGGCACCTACACAGACCACTACCTCAGGCCCAAACAGCCATAATGTCAACACTGTTACCCGGCCAGTCGCACCTGTGAATGGTCCGAAAAGACCCAAACGACGACCAGGTACGCGACCAACTACATTAGTCCCTAACCCTGAAGTCACTTTAACGGCTAAAACCACTGTACATCGGGATAAATGGGTGACAGTGGAAAAGAAGGTGCACCCTTCCCACAAAAAAACCACTCACAGCACACGAAAATAAAGAAGCTGATGACAGGTCGAATTCCATCATCTTATTTAGCGTCCGTGTGTGCCATGATAGTCTTCTTGAGAACCGAGAACCATTTGACAAGCAGCAATGGGAAACCGTATGCACCACACTAGGACTGGGTAGCCTAGAAGCAAAAGTGTGCAGGCTCTACAAAGGCAACTACTCACCTCAGGGAAAGCCTCCACCGATGGGAGTTACCCTAAGCTCGGCTAAAGAAGCGGAAAGATTCTTGCTGATGTCACACGCATTAGTCATCAACAGGTCATCCAGCATTACAGTCAGACCAGACCGCCCTTGGTCGGCAAGGAAAGTATCTCGCGAGGCGCCTCCAAACGCTGAGACCAACAACTATGGTTGTCCACGGCATACCAGAACTGACAACCGGCGCAGTCGTAGAACAGTATGCTCACGACCTCCGGCAATGGCAGCGGTCGTCAGCGAGGATGGGGTTAAATGGGATAGCAGCGGCGGCGGTCTGCAGATTGCCATGTCCCTCACATTTGACGACAATAACAGCATCCCGGTTGATGGCTGTTAACTTCGGCTGTCAAGAACGTTTAACCAGGGTACTGCAAACTTGGTACACAGTAAAAGATGACATCAGCGGGGACGTTCGATGCTGTGAAAACAGGCCCAGGACACTTTGACAACAGCAAATGACAGCTCCGCCCAGTGCTTAAGTCACCATCACTGTCAACAGACAAGACGTACAAACAAGCCTAGACTCTATGAAGCCCCCAGAAACCATTGTGGGGATGAACGTGATTGGGCCGGTTCCACTGGAGGTGGCCGTCCTACAGCAAGTTTCGCCACTACGCACGACTCCCTCCAGTCTCCCAGCACCAAGATATCCCATGTAATTGGAAACAGCCAAGTGTCTTTACAGTAGCGTGAGGAGACTCAGAGATAAGATAAGGGAATTAAAATTGCTCTGTTCCTACCTTGCTCCAACTATCTAATCCTAACAGAAACTTGGTTGTCACGGGATATTGGTGACATCGAAACTGGTATGGACGGTATGCGTCTGTTCAGTAGGGACAGGGAATTTAAGGAAGGAGACGGAGTAGCGATGCTTATGAGTGATAACCTTAAAAGTGAACGAGCAACTGAAACTCTACTTTCACGGCTCCCAGACTCCATCTGGTGTCAATTTAAGGTTGGACACACCAAATACCTGGTGGAAGGCATCTACAGAACACCTACTAGCAGCGTGGAAGATAACCGACAACCGCTGCAAGTAATGTCCGGAGTGACGTCCATCGGATATGACCAGGCCATTATAGCCGGCGACTTTAATGCTTCGACTCTCAATCTTGGGCAGGACAAAGGAACCTCAAGCCGAAGGTTCTACCGAAACCTACTCAACACTATCCAAAAGGTTGGGCTGCACGAGAATGTTGGTGATGACACTGGCTGGGGGTCGGGCGGAAAGCCGTCCAAATCGGACTACCTTTTTACCAGTGACCATATGCTGGTAGAAAAGATACAGATTCAACCCCCCCTCGGCAGCAGCGATCACGGCGTGGCAGTGTTCGACCTGGTACTCTCCGAACAACTCACGGGAGGGATCTCGCCCTTGTCTTTGCTACAGCAAGGTGAACTACGTGGCGATAAACCAATACCTGTCGACAGCACCATGGTCTCAGGAGTGGAGCAACCTGTTGATTGATCAACATTGGGAACTAGTCAGAGATATCATGAAGAGGGCTTTCTCTGAAAACGTCCCGGTAATCACAGGAATACCGCGGAGGCGAACCTCGTGGCTGAAGTGAGGCACTGAACGCCAAATGGAAGCCAAGAGGAAAGCGTGGCACGAGTGGAGGACCTCCAGAAAAGAGTCTGACCACACCGTGTACATTGCCCTAAGAACTCTATGTAACATTAGAGTGAGGTGAGACAGGAGGTCACTCCAGACGAACCTTGCCCCGGAAACCTATATTGGTTTGTGGCAGGCAGAAAATTCACCAGCCAGGGGCTTGCGTCCTCAAAGGCCTAGACGGAGATAACCTCTCCGGGCTAGAGGTCGCGGAAGCCTTTAGTGCCACCTTCGATACGCAACTGAATAGTTCTCTGTTGAACCAAAATTACCAACTGTCCGACCAACCTTCAGCACCACCAAATGCAGTAGAGTTACCTGAAATAAAGGTAACCCTTGCTATGGTCCTCGAGAAACTATCAAAGCTCCGCGCACGAAAATAAACATGGTGTGATGACATACGACCGGCTCTACTGAAAAGTGATGGAGAATCTGGTAGACGACCATGTCAGGGAGTACTTAGAATACAGAGGAGCACTGAGCGATGCTCAACATGGCCTCAGAAAGGGTAGGTCTTGTACCACAAACATTCTGGTGTCAGGTGATAAGTGGATGGCATGTTGGGACCTCCAAATTCCTGTCCATGTTATTTTCCTGGATTCTACTGAGGCCTTTGACACGGTTTCACACACCGTTCTTATTCACAAAATAGAAAGGTTGGGCATCAAGGGGGAAGTGCTTTCATGGTTGCAGGACTATCTAGACGGTAGACAATTCCGCACAAAAGCCAACAGAGTTTGCTCGACTTGGAGGACGTCATCATCTGGTGTAACACAAGGGGCGATTCTGGGTCCACTGCTATTTCTTCTTTCTGTGAACCACCTCCCACTGGATCTGAGCTCCCCAATTCTACTCTAAGCTGATGATGTTAAGTTATGGAGAGCTATGACGTCGGAAACAGGA